TAGCAAATGCATCCTGTTACTCCACTGGCATGGAGAGAACCAAGGAAAAAGAAAAAACAAAYTTTTTTCATTCTTAATATCTTTGTTATACATTTTAACAATTAACAAACTTTTTTTGGTGGTGGTGGGGAGGGGAGGGGGGGAGGGGTCAAGGATTAGTAACAATCACAGTTAGTTCTAACATAACCTGTTGATTCTCATAGACAGATCCCTGAGATCATTGTTTGTAAAAGGATACTTTTATGACACACAGGTGCGTTATTCAATTAAGACATAAAAGTGGTGTTTCYCAGCCGGGCATTGATCTCCTTAATTTATAAAATATATACCACAGATAATAGCAAGTTTATTGGTAACAGACGGAATTGATAATCCAGGAATTGCTKCTCTAAATGGAGGTAAATTTTAGTATGTGGAGGGCTGTCTGCGRCGGTTWTGGTATCAATGATTTTTCCTGATTCATGATTTGCATTTATTTGAAGCATCTGCAGCACTTGCAATATCAAGTATTCCTTGGAATGGACCAATAGGTGAGTATCAGATTGTTTTGATATATTTTGGGGTTTTAACTAGATCAAATTCGTCAAGTACATATTTACAAAAGGGAGATCAATTTTCCAATAACAATAAGACAGTATTAATTATCAATTATCAATATTTATTTACTATTAGTAATTCTTATAAAATATTATAATTGTATCCTATCCTGTAGGTGCAGTAAGAATAGGTGATGTCGATGGGCAGTTTATTGTCAATCCATCRTCAAATSAGATGAAACAAAGCCAGCTTGATCTAGTTGTGGCYAGTAGTGAAAATAAAATAGGTAAATCACTTTGTTTTCCCTGATTCTTTTATTAATTAGTCGAGTACAATAAAATGAGTGATTGTATTATTTTRTATTGTTAGTAATGTTGGAAGGTTCAGCAATGGAGATTAGTAAYGAAAAATTTTTTGAAGCTGTTAGACTGGGGTTTCAGGAGGTGAGGTGTTGATTTTTCAACAAAGGCARCAGAAAYAATTCTGTATTCCCAATCTTTTATCATAGTATATKTTTCATAATTTAATGTGTCTTTCTTAGGCTCAACCAATTATCAATGCMATTAAAGAGCTACAGTCMAGTGTTGGCAAGGAAAAAAGGGAATACACACCAATGGTCCCAAGTGAAGAAATAAGCAATGCTGTTCACAAGTATGATTTAGGAAAAATCAGCAATAAAACTGAACCTTCCATGACATTTCTGTACATTTTCATCAATTAATACTGTTGTTTTTATTGTGGGTTCTAATAAAATATACACAAAATCAAATAGGTTTTAAAACTACAGTATTTCTGAATTTCTAATTTTCATTAATATCAATATTACATTTCATTTACAGTTTTGCATCTGATAAACTTCGTGAAATATTTTCAAATTTTACTTATAAAAAGGTAACTACTATACGTTAACTGGTTATATTGTAATTCATGGCTTATGAGAAATGTGTCAGACAGTATCACATGAAAAT